ATGCCGTTTTTCTCAAGCCTTTACGCGCAGACTGAAACGACCAGAGAATAGTTCAGCATATCACTTCGACCGTGTTTGGTAAATTCAGCACGGAATGCCGACATTACTATTCATCCCGGCGGACGAATGAGGACATATGACAGAAAGTGACGGCCTCACCTGCCCTTTAAACTCGACGCAACTGACCAGCTGTCGTTAATTTTTGAGCACCTGTTACGTAATTCTACATGAGCTGCCGCACCGATTCGTTAGCTTGCTTCCGCCAGAGAGTTTTTTTTTAATTCTTTTATTGCTGCCGCACCGGTTCGTTAGCTTGCTTCCGATCAATGCTGATTCACAAATATGGATTGTGTCTGTTTTTTGAGTCGTTATCCGAATCTTTGGGTTAGAATTGAGTCTTTGGACGGTGAATTGCACGTGTATGAATTTCAAGGTGGTATGAGCTGTCTAGCTGACCAGATTGCCATCAGCATCTGTCGGCTATTGATAGCCAATTTTCTATGTCTCTTATTTTCCAAGAAATGATGTACACATACGGTAGGAATTCGATGGGACAAAAATACATCAACTTTTAAACCTTTAGGAATGTTGATTACCTGGGTTACTGGCGCTGATCATCTCTACGCGAATTCATGTGAAATATCGCCCGGGGAGGGGAGTAAACATTGCTCACCCGGTAAACCCACAGGGATTTATCAGCTAACCTACTCGGAGAACGCGTCGGCGTTCGACTCTCCAAGTCTGCTGTTTTGTTTACCAGCCCGTCATTTATTTTGTGCATCGTCCCATAGATGACATCATCTGTTGTTCCAAACCAGGGAAGCAACCATCCAACTACAAGCGCTTTTCTATCCGGGTAACCCAGTCAGACAGATCAGTCATCTGGGTGCAACTTCCTTGGAAGACAAATGATTGATCCAGGGAGTATGTGCGCCTATGTTACCGTGCTACTGAACTAAAACTAACGAAAATCTCTGTTCGTTTATGCATTTCGGTGCTCTGCGTACCGGATTCATAGTAGTGGTGTTTACATGGTCAACTGGAGATTTCGTGTCGTCTACTGAGCGAGGATTTCTACATTTTGATACTCTCAGTACATAGTAGGCCAACCGAATGGTGTTCCGTTTTACTATTCCAAAACACAAGACGTGTTAGTAGAAAAATGGTTCCATAGGATGCCAGATGGAGGGAAGATCTTGTTGGTGCCGGTAAACAAATGACAATAAAGGAAATGACAGCGATCTCTCTCATTTGTCATTAAATTGATCTTATGGGTTGAACCAATATTTTACGTTTCTGACCACGTACCTGTGTTGGTTGCATATCAGAATGACCCTAAAATGGGAAGCTACAGTGGCGTTGACACAGAAATCGTATCCTACGCTATCCCTTAGGCAATTCTTTAAGATGATCTTTTCACCCGATTTGGGCGTTATATACAACTGATTTTCGTCTAGCATTTGACTCTTGGATGGAAGTTGTGTTCATCCTTCAGTTTTACAAAAAAATACAAAATTTTCAACGTTGGAAGTTTTGCACTGGTTGATTGTTTTTGATGAGAAGTAAAAACTCGTTTCACAAACAAGCTGACTACTTCAAACAGGCACATCTTAGAAGAGGCTGCTGAATTACTTTGTCTTAATATTAGGTAACATCGCCAGCAAGACTAAGGAAGACCGAAATGTTCCTTTGACCTGCCAAAAGTTGAGATATTTACTGACCGGTGTCGTTTTAAATTTGATAGACGCTTTGTCAGTTTAAGTGCTTACACGCATACAACTCACACAATAACAAATGATGCCTTTACGGATTTGTTCACCAGGATGCCGAAATACCCACACGGGGTAAGTGATGCCAGTAATGGGGTGGGTTGTTGGACCGAGATCGTCAAAATTCTCACATAACCGAGACTGCGAAAGTTTTTAAAACCAAGTCAATAGGGTATAAACATATGAGAGACGTGTTTACCGTTTTTGGTGTATTTTAAGAGAAAATTAGATCAAGATCACCATACTGATTTGTCCTCAAAATGTACCATCTAAATTGAAAAACGGAATGGAAACCTGCAGAGAACATTGAAAGTTGTATGGGGTTTTTAATGACAGATTCGTTTCTACACGGGCTCCAGTCAGTAAACTGGAAAGCAATGGGATATTAAATGCTCCAATACCGATAGTTTAAACGCGGGTAAGTTAATTTCACCAGTAACCAATGGTAAGAATTACGTTCCGCACGTATACCACTATAACCAGACGAACTAGAAATCCCGGATTCCGCACAGCAAAACTGGAAGCACGTATATATTCGAATTGTTCTGTACGTATACAGCATCTGGAATAATAAAACTAGAGAATAATAAACATGGCAATGAACAGTGTATCAATCATGTTCACCCTAATGAAGGAAAACGTCTCTACCTATAAACTGCAGTATTTGATAGAAAGCACACGGTTTCTGGGCGACAACAGAACAACACAATACAATCCGATCAAAAAGACACAATTTCGTAAACTGAGCTGATGTAGAGCGGAATTCTGGTTACAGTTCATCTGGGATATAGGTCTTCCATAACAACTAATTACGTAGACCAGTATGGAATGGTGGCACGGGGTTTAAACTCATTCCAGAACTTAAGATATGCAAGAGGAATCATGCAAAACTGGAAAACTTGAAGCGGTATTCTGATGTAGGGACCACAGCAGGACATTGGAAACAAGGCAGAATGTTTTGGAACGAGTGTTTACTAGCTCTCACTTTTGTTGAGACATAAGAATTAGTACCATCATAGATTACACAACAGTCTACGGAGATGGATGTCCTTCTAATATGTATGTACTCGGCACAACCACAGGTTACGGCTTCCCCGGGCCAACTGCTTTTGCCCTGAACAATGCAAATAAAGTCGTTATTTTATTTGTTTGTTTCTACTTTAACCTCCTCATAATGTCGCTGAACTACTGAACTATCCATCGAAATTTCTTGGGTAAGAACATCAGAACAATGTGCAGACAGCTTGAGTCGGTGGACTAGTTCTGCCATCTAAATAAACTAAACTATTGGGGACGAAAAAATAGAGGACTAATCGGTGAATGGATTTGTTTGTAAGTTAGTGCAAAGAGTATACTGCGTCCACAGTTTGGTCTTTATGTGCCCAAGTACTAATCCAGTGTCATTAGTACCGGATGGTCCACCTCATTATTTTTACACTATGCCAGAAAATCGATAGCTTCCTTTCCGAGATTTACTTCATTTTCTTCGAGCATTGTTAAATAAATTAGTATATATTCAGACTTAAAAATTATGGGCAATAGTGACAAAGCTGAGGAAACAATACCGATAATATATGATCCTGATGCACTACTGGGAATGTAACTTTTACTTTTTCACGACAGGTGACAGCAACAACCTTCAAAAGGACATCACAAGACGGTAGATTCGATCGCATCATTACTACCAGCTCCCAGATATTTGGCAAATTTGTAAATTTAGAATGGAGTTCGGAGATTAATCGTTGTAACACGAACTGGAGGGTTCCGCGAGGTTCGGTTGTGGCAATAGAAATTGAAATATAGTAAATGTTAAGTGGTAGTATTGAGGTATTGTTGGGTCTCATCTTCCTCCTACCAGAATACCAGATTATTGTTAAGCATGCAGCATTTCGCAATATTCAGACAACTTATATCGCGATGAGATTCAAAAAGATGAGCGGCGTTAAAGAACTGACGTCGCACTGAATAAGTCCTTCTGTTTGATTGTGCGAGATCTGTCAACGAAATGCCCACTTTATAGAACAAAACGATGGTTCTTGTTAGAATTTTAAGAGGGATCATTGTGAATTCCACTGTACAATGCTTGAATGAACCCATCAAATCATCATCATCATCATCATCACTGTCAGCTGTAATAACCGCGTACTCGTTGTACAGTGGTTGTAGCAGCCACAGTTTCCTTCACCGATGATTTGGAAGGGAGGGGTGTCTAGCTGCGCATTGGAGACGGAAGCTGATGAATTAGTGCATGAATACAGCACTGCAGGTGGACTGTTAAGTGGGCAGATTAGAAAGGGAGCTATGCATTGAAGGTAATAGCTTGGATGCATGAGCGCCATTGAGGGCGCGACTGGGCCAGGTCTGACAATGCCTCTAACCATTGATATGGCCCGTCTCGGGCTCCCCATCCAGGAAGACGGCAATGACCAGCGCACCTGAGTTTACCGGTAATGGCTTTTATACTTCGCTGCCAAGTCATTGTTTGACCGCCTCTGGTTCTCTTTCACCCTTCAGGTGGGTGGAAAAAATTCCGTGGAACACGCGGTGCGTAACTCAATGTCTAGGTAAATGATTTTCAACAGTCTGAGGGCATTGCGGATGAAAGAAACCCAGCAAATAGAAAGAACCGCTGATGTGGTCACACAACGAATTAAAATAAACTGAGGTAGTATATTCTTTCTGCGTACGAGCATCTGTACAAAAAATAGCAAAGCAATCAAAGCATAAAAACCAAAAAGTGGCAGTTCATAGAAAGACATGGGCGATAGCTACAGAAATTCTTCGGCCGCACTCATATTATCAGGGGAGGGGGCAGAGTATCCATCCAAACTGGGGACGACGCGGAAATATCCGGTGAAAATTCACAGAAATAAACAAAGTATCAAAAGATAGTGTAGAATGGAAAAAGCTTGTATAAAAATAAAGTTTGGCAAAGTAGATTCACGTGGGTGATTGTTTAGTCTATTTGATTGTTTAGCTTCCCAAGACGATGTGAACATAAACAGTGAAATATCAATATAAAAAATAGGATCAGAAACCAAAATCTGGATAAGGACATAGGCGTTGGCAACGAAAAACTTTCATAGACGGTTGTTTACCCTAAGGATCCACCCAATCCAACAGAAAGAGCACAAAGTAAGTGGAACATCACAAGGGGCGGCTTAGGTTTCCTTGTTCCCAGAACAACTTCCGGGAGGGGGTTCAAAGAAGGGCCTACTGATGTCCCAGAGATCAGAATTCCGAAAACTCGTCATCTTCCTTATTAGTATCATGAGTTAACAGACCGGATTCCAACAAACTCAGCCGTGGTTCCAAGTAATCGATAATTCGTTTTGAGTGTTCCACAGCATAGTGTGTAAGGGTTCGGTTGAACATGGCACTGAACGCTATGAACAAAATCATAGCAGGAACGATGACCACGGCGCTAGTGATCAACGAAATAGTATTGTTATACCAAAACTTGACCCAACAAGCCCGTAGCATCACAGCAAGGAATAGAGACATTCCAATCAGAGTACCGAATACCCAGGCCACTTCGATTATTCTGCACATGTGGGGAAACAAATAGAGAAATGATGCTATCGTAAACGTTCCTTACATTCGAAATCGAATATGCGGTGGTTCCTCGGAGGGTAAGTAGCTGAACAGCCCAGCATAGCAATCGATATGCGGTTCGATACATGAGCTGATCATCAACGATAGGGTGAGACAGACGATTGTCAAACAGCTAACTGTCGTAAACACCGCCAACAGTATCTGAGGTGCATTCAGTCCAACTGAGGTCTACAAGAAAATTTAACAAAATCTGCAACAAACTCACGTCGAGTTCAATTATGGCAACCAGAGAGAAACCGGCCAGTAGCGCCGAGACACGACTAGCTGCTGTGAGCTTCTCACGTGCCAAATAGAAATGTAAGAGGTTGGCAACAGTCTGGGGGGTTATGGTGGCCCTACGAACCCTCGCTTCGGAACAATGAGATGCCAAATCGGAGGACATATAACACCAGAGACAGAATGCGTCAACAATGAGCGGTTAGACAAAGCAGCGAATCCACTGCCGGGTGGAATGATCAATCTTAAAATGAAGCAGAAAGTTGGATTAGAAAGTAACTTCCGGAGTAAGTTTATCGGTCGGAAAGCGAACAAATAAAGTAAAGTTTATTGATTGGCGTGGTCGCAACACCAGAATACTGCCCATCAGAGATCATCGAAATGAGAATTTACAATCGGCCTTCATGAAAAAGTGCTTGCTTATCGCTAACCCGCCTAACTACGACATTTGTCTGCTCATTGTGTCTAGAGTTGAGTCGAAACTTTCAGTCAAATGTTGAAATCGGATTCCATTTCACAGGAATGCGCTTGTCACAAATATGTGAGAGCTTGCGTTCAACAACGAGGTTTGTTCAGTCGAGGTCTTTCTTTCGAAAAATGACACGCGCTAATATGCACTTATTCTCATACACCAACCGATAATCATTTGCGCCTACCACAAACCGATGGTATCAGGCACGTGGTGGGTTCGATTTCTGTTGATTTCTGTTGGAATGAACCTCATGGAAGTATTCAAAGCGATAAAGAACTGGGGCCATTTATGCAGTAGAATAGGGTAGAATTTCAAGGGCAATAACCACTGCAAGCCGTTCAGGGGTGACGTAACACTGGAGCTACCCAAAGAGCCATTGTCCCAGAAGAATAGTTCTGTTAGGATGGAGGGACTTGATGAATTCTGGAGTAACCAACCAGAATACAACACAGCCAAGTATACTTGGGTCCATAGTTCGAAAGAAAAACTTTTTATCGGTTTATCCTGGGGGAGGACCACTACTGAGGGGAAAGCACTTTAATCAGTCTCTTCGAAAAACCGACCCGGAGAAAGAACAAACGTTCACTTGTAGCAACCTTCAGCTGCCTAACTGCCACGCCACCCGAAGGTTGCACGAGGGCTGGGATACTGCCAAAGCCTAGACGGGGGAAGCCAAGAGGGGCAGAGATCGGACCTTCCGGTCAGTAAATTCGCGTTCTAACCACTTGGGCCATCTCGCCCCGGAGAGGGACAACCGTATCAACAAACCAGCAAATTGGTGAATGAAGCTGGTTGTCTATCGATTCTCGATTGGGGTCGAACCAATTCACTCAGTGGATGTTGCCTGAGCAAATCTACAACCATCCTCGGTATTCTGGTCGGAAAATAACTAGGTTATGGTGCAGTCATTGCCCAGTTTAGGCGACAAAAACAGTCCCAAAGATGCAGTGCTTGTAAAACAGTGGAACCAAGGTTGGTCATTCTTTCGTGTGAACGTTTCTCTACAAAGGGACTAACTGTATTTGAAGCGTGTCAACACAGGCGTAGCGAAGGTTGAATCAAGACTTGTAAGCCAGTTTAGTGTTCATTAGCTCGTTGAGCTTCCCAGATCCGTGGTCCCGTTTACATCGAATTAAGGCACCCAAATTTTCCAGTGATGTGTATCTTCCAAGGATTTGCAACATGGGAACCGGTGTCGTCCGCACGCTCAACGTTTTTGAGCAAACACCCTGAGGGTATTTCGATCCGCCAGGTTGCAGAGGGAGGTAGCATGTCAATAACAAAGTTGAATGGGAATGGTGAGAAAGGGTGGTCTTGTCTTACATCAGTGGGTGCTGTAAACACTGAATACTCACGCGCGCCTACAGGATTCGAAATACGATCCAGCGCCAGAAACTACGTTGGTTGGGCCATGTACTGCGCGTGCTGAGCCATCGGTTGTCCAAGGGAGCACTGTCTTCCGTGCCAAAGTCGGAGTGGCAGAAGCAGAAAGGTGGCCAACCTTTAACCTGGCAGACGGATAGGAAAGAAACTACGAAACTTCTGGGTGCTGTCGGTGCGACTCGCTTGAGGACTCCACTGCGCCTCACTGGAGCCGCTGCAAGATATGGCTGTTGCCAGCTTCTATCAAGTGTCCGAATGATTGTCTGGAGGGGTGGGCATCTAGGAATGATTATAGTGGGCTGAGTATGTGCTTATCACCACAAGGATCACATTGAGACTTTTGCCAAATCAACATTGCATGGATCCACAAGAGCTGCCCAGCAACAGATCTATAGATTGTCAAACTTTTCCGAAATGCCCTCTCGACTTGGTTAAAGTTCACTGATGCCCCCCCGCCGATTACAGCTTGAGGGAGATCAACTGGCAGATAAAAAAGCGGTTAGAGAAAGCCACCTAGCGCACCCGTTAGATTATACCACAGTGGAAAGTACTCAAAAATGTATGATGTTCTTACAGACGGGTCCTCAACGAAGTTTAGATGAACCTAGAGTAGGATTCGTGAATCAGAGGAGACCATTAAACTATCTCAGATTTACCATAAGTTGACAACACCTCAGTCGAACGAATGGGAGAGTGGAAATTAGTGAACAAAATTTCCAAACAACAAAACCTGATGAGGATCAGGGCGACCCGAATTTGCATCATTTTGACAGTCATAGATTCTGCATACGGAGCCAACATGGCAAGTATCTGACGGCCTGATATCGCATTTCATTCCGGGAAAACGAGATGGATTGTTCAATGTGGACCTCAGTCCACCAGACTAATGCTCTTTCATGACATTTTTACCGCGAAATGAGTTTACACTCCATTGGAAGTTGCCGACAATTATGGATTTCGTACTGAAATACCAAAACAGTATAGAAACCAATGGATGCTTATTGATGGTACACTAAACTTCAAATTAGAAAAAAACCTACTTGCACAAAGAATACATTGCACCTTATCATCGTCTCGTCATTCTACGTTTCTAGCAAGATATTCACAGAAAGAAATTGCTCAGCTGTAACATCCTTCCGGTGCCTAGCCGCCATGCTACCCGAAGGAAGCACGAGAGCTTGGATACCGCCAGGAAGTCGAGCAGCAGAAATCGGGGGGTTCGAACCAGGGACCTTGTGGTCAGCAAATTCGCGCCTAACCACTTGAGCCATCCCGATGATATTCATAGGATCAAATTCCTGAGTTTTTTTTCTGTAATTTTTGACATCTGGGTCGAGGAACCAGCCCATTCATCGTTCAAACTGACCCAACTCTCGCAAAATCAAGTGGTTTTATAATTACCTTGCGAACTGAAAACGCCGCAAAACCAGTTTGTATGAAGCTACGTGTATAAACGTTGTATCCATGGTTTCTAGAAATAACAGCCGTCCACTGAGAAGTTTATGGAATGAGGAATATCCTCGGATGGCTGTCTACTGAGTATTTGAATGGTCTTTACTTGTGGCTGAGTATGGAAGGAAGGTTTCACGGTAGGGTGACGGAATATGAAAAAAAAAACGCATTTGGGGGTAAAGAGTGCTTGCTAGACATCAACGAATGCGCGTCTGTTTGTTGACACATGTCGAGAAGTTGGCGCGTTGTCTGCCAGTATTGGCAGACAGTGTAGATGTGGATAGTAAGGAAGTTGGAAGGACTCGGGACATTTTGGAGACCGAAACAATAGACTTTTGCATAGTTCAATGTGTAAAAGACGAGAACATGGTGTTCGGTGTAATAGGGTTGAAGTTGCTTCATTCTGGCGTGATGCGTGCTTTTGTGAGCAGAGTTTTACTATGAATCATGTTGGAAGTCGGCACACGTGGAAGCATTTATTCACTGATGAGTGTGAACATCACAGGGGGGTACCCTATTGGACTGCCAGTCAAATAGTATATGTTTTAATGCTGTCGGAGCGGTGGGCTATATTGAAAACTGAGGCTGTTATTCGGTGAGTTGGTTTATTTCCAAAGTCAGATGTCGACGTCGGTTTCTATGACCATTTTAGATGAAGAGATACTCTCAAGAAAGATGCTAAATGGAAGCGTCAATGTTATTCATAGTAGGTCATAAGATGTGAATTCAACCGACCAATATCGATAGTCGGCGAATGTGACCGAGGCTGCGATGACTCGATGTGTTTTGAAGAGTTTATTAGAATTTACTGCATTTGTCTGGATGGACGAGCTCGCTTGTCGTGAAAATTTAATTCCGCGAAAATGGAGAATGACAATATTGTCTTGAGAAAGGCGGCGAGATAACTAGATTTTAGGTAGGACAGGTATGAACTTTTCCATCTTAACAGCAAAGTACTCGCTCCAAATTCTTTGCATTTGGTTTTGAGGCTGGATTTTGCGTTTTAGACGATGGTTTGGATTATCCAAGCATTGCACGAAAAAGTCTGAATGGACTTAACCTCCCCCTCCCGAGTTTTTCTAACTTCGCTCAACATTAGTTTGACGAACTGCTATCGCTTCCTTGATCTCGACGGTGCTCTGAAGAACTCAAGACTACTACTGCCTAGTTTATAGTAGCAATATACAACTGGCATTTCTCTCCAAAATCTGAATGATTGTCTGAGTTTGACCCTACAAGGCGTTGGTTTGCTCCCACTAACCAGCATCCAAGGCCTGATAAAATAGACATTTTTTTCAAAAGAAATGCACACTAAAGTTCCAGAGTCTGGCGAGTAAAAATGCAAGCGAATGATTCAATCTAGACAAGTAGATGAGCGATACATCAGAGAAGATCGATGGATTCGTAAATCAAATCGAGAGAGTTCGCAAAAAACCTGCTGGTTGCTTGAAACGCGCACAGCTAATCCAAAAACCTGAGGCTGATCATCAGTCTCAGAAATTAGACGGGGCTTTTCCAAAATGAAAAACGTTTAAAACATGACACAACTTCCTGAAATAGAGCGCCGACTGTCTCCACGGGATTGCCTTCAGTCGCTTATCAATCCAATCAAAGGGCGGAAGCTCACGAACAAGTGATATGAGTTCATTGACTGTGGGACAAAAATAAGTCTTGTTTGCCGCGAAAATCATCCAACAAGTACCTGAATCCATGTCGGAAAATGATGAACTTCTTATGAGGCATCAATTTTCCAAACTATACAAACTTAGCTGGACTTTTAACTCTGATGTTAAATCAACAGCCACACGATCTACAACCCCTTGTTTATAGAACCGATTAGTTTGTGTATTTCTGATTGG